TCAATACAGCAATCACCTATTCTGAAATCAACTTACTCACTGTCTGTATAGATAACTTTTCAACTGAAAATATCACTAAAATGACAATACTAAAAAATTTTGAAATTGGAGTTAGTCATTATGTCAACTGAAAGCCTGAAGTTATATGGTTTATAAAATCAAATGGAGTAACTAGATTTTTATTGCCTACCGTCGATATAATAAATAGATTTTTTTGTGATTTTAATGGTCTTGATGATTTGTTATCTGTAAGCTTTAAGCTTTAGCTCCTTTTAAAATGCACTTCAAAAATTTATAATATCCCAGCATTGCCGGAAAATAATTTATAATGAAAGTAGACCGGTAAATGAAAATTGTGTGTTGCACGCACGAGCCTTTTATTTTTACGCTAGGTTTTACATTTACATTTATCACAAATACAAACAGATTTTTGCAAGAACTAAATATTTGAATTCTGGAGACTAAACGTGTAGATAGGTTTAAACATTTTCTTTATATTATATATAGAAAAGCGAAAGTTTTTTTCTTATGGATACGCGTAAATAATAACAAAAACTAAATGAAAATTAACATCACTTATTAAATTAATATATAAATGATTGTACTTACAGCAGTTTCTACGTATGAAGAACCAAAACAAAACATACAGACTTCAATGCCTTGGTAAGCCAAAAATAGTAATGATTTAAAAATAAACAAAGGATTTCCAGGGCTTCCCTAATAAAACATAAGAAGTAATTATTAATACATGTGTGTGATTATATATATATGTGTGAGTGTGTGTGTGTAGGTGTGTATGTGTATGTGTCTGTGTATATAGTTTTAATTAAATAGATATATAGATACATAGAATTGTATGTATAGAATAATGATTGTTGAAACACTACGATGTACCTAGTAATATATAACAGTGAATAACTAGATTTTTCAAATGCAATATTTACGTTTTAAATAAAAAAACTTACTGATTGGTAAATTATTTAATTTTTTATTTTCCAGTTACTGACCTTTTTTTTTTAAATTATCTTTTCATTAATTTTTTCTTAGTAAATATTAGGATTAGGAAAATTTACATCGTTATTTATAAAATGTAGATGTTTAAAAAAACACAGTTGCTTTATCAGTTTTAATAATAAATATTCAAAAATTCATTATTTTTTTAAATTAAATACTAAATGTTTTATGCATTTATATATATATATATATATATATATATATATATATATATTATATATATATATATATATATATATATATATATATTATCAAAAATTTCATATAATATAAAAAATAAATTAAAGTCTTTCAATATTTTTTTAAAATCATTTTTGCTGTCTACGCAGGTACAGAATATAAAATCACATCAATTTTTTTTTCATTACAAGAAGTGAATTACAAGTTGGTCTCTTAAAAAACTCAACTAAATTGAAGATTATTAAACAAGTAAATTTTCCTTAAAGTGGGGTATCTGTAGTAAAGTTGGATATTGATTTCATAAAATAACGAATAACTCATGATATTTTAAAAAATAGAATTTAGCATACTTGTGCTGCTTAAAAAATCATCTTTAAATGGTTTTAAGAATGACAAACTCCACTTTCATATGAAGTAATTTTTTTTTGTTTACTGTAAAGCCATTGGTAATTACTTAAATTAATTATTATTTAAGGCAAAAACGTGATATATTTAAAAAAAATATGGAGGTGAATATCAACTTATTTCCTTATAAACGCACAACTTAATTAATATGGATCTCAAGTTTATTAAATTAGTTTTTTAAAGGGGAGTATCTTTAAACCTATAGATATATTTGGAACGTGACAAAAAAAAATTCAATAAACATAAAAATAATTCATGATCTTTTAAAAAGCAGAATTTAGCACAGTTGATCGTTGATCGCGAAGTTCTCTTTAGATAGCTTTGAAAATGGCAAACTCGATTTTTTATTGAAGTAGATTTTCTTTAATTTATTGCGTAATCGTAACTGTAATCGAATAGTTTTTTACTTATAGATTCCTATTCAACTAACTTTGCCACTTACTTTGAAAAGTACAAAACTTTAAATTTTTACTAAATATCGGGCCATTGTTAATTAAAAAATATTCAATTTACTTTATTACTGACTGTTGACATTTATTTATTGGCCTTTTGTTAAAAAAAGATGAAGTACTTTTTCATTGTTTATTATCTCTTTCCGATTATTGGTTTATAACCCGGATTCGATACAGCATTTCTCATTAATTGGATAAAATTTATTAATGAAAACATTATATAATCTTTCTTACAATACTCAATTTTTATAGAGTGAAAAAAAATTATAGGTATATAACTCTAATTCGATACAGCATTTACGCATTTACATGAGTAAATAAATTACTGAAAACATTATATAATCATTCCTTAAACGACTTACTTCTTATGAAATTTACGCTTAGGTTATTTCTTTAAATTGTATTTAATTATTTAAATCGCTTTGGTATAGTTATGGCGCTTTAGCGAGGGACTAGAATTTAATACAACATACAATTCAACTATAGCCCTCATATTACAATCACAAATACAAACAGTTACAATAGTCTTTAATAAAAAAATATTTATTACACTTTTGTTAAAGTAAAACTATTTTCATTCTGTATATGAATATATTTATGCAGGATGTGAAGGATTGATTGCACAAAAATAAATGAAAATATATAAATAAAAAAGAAAAATTCACCAAAAGTGAAAAAAAAAATATTTTTTTCCCAATAAATTAAAAATGTATACTAAGTGAACGAATTCTGCCAACGGACCGAATAAAACAGTATATTTTCTTAAAATCATTGGACGAATTCGAAGAAAAGGCAAAGACGAAAACATCACTTTATCAATTTTATGAAATTGAGATAAAATATTGCGTCGGATTGAATCATATATTGAACACTGTGCTAAAACTAGGAATAAAACTCCGTTTATCTGATTATCACACAATTTACATTTATTTTGAGGATCAAATTTGATTACAGTTTTGTTTACACTTATTTTAAAACTACAATCATTGGCAGTATGTAACTGTATGATAATTCTTTAAGTGTAATATGGAAGGCTGGTTATAAGTTACAGCTGAGCTTTATGTGTGAGAGGATAAAAAATATTATATAGTTTATACTATTGTCCTATGAAGTATGCTAATTCATCTTCAATATTTCAAAGATATTTCAAATCGCATATTTTCTTTTAAGTCATAATCACCTAATTGAAGCAGTTTAGCTTTTAAAAATCAATTATATTTATAAATATTTTTATTTAAACGGTATAATTTAGTTAGTATTTTGATGTGTTCTTTTAATAATCTATTGTTGTTAATTTTTAAAAGCTTTATTTTCCATTTAATAACTTGTTTTATGACAGAATAAAATAGGCGTGTTAATCTAGCTTTTCGCTTAGTAATGACGTTTGATTAATTTTAAATTAACTATAAATGTTCGAAATGCTATAACATTAATGCTTCATTGATCAAAAAAAGTAATAACCTCTCTTTTCAACAATTTTACTATCAGAAAACGTAATAAATCATATTTTTAAATTATTTTTTAATGTGAAATGAAATTTATTGTTAGTCAGTGGGGAGATATTGCTTTTTAATTGATTAGAAAATAGAAACAATTAAAATTCGTTGTTTTCATAATCAATAGACCTAGCAGTTTTTTAGAAATGAAATTTTCTTTAATACTGAAAAAAATCAATGGAATCGAACGATTAATTACAGATTTTTGCTATTTGAAATCATATTCTCAAGGAAAATTCGTTTTCATTTATTATTTCCTTTATAGCTCGAAACTATAACATTATCAGATGATACCTAATTTTTAATTAAGGATAATTTTAGTTGTCAATACTGTATAATAAAAAAAATACTACTGAGTCTGTTTAAGACCTCAAGATAGATAAGAAAACATAAACAAGGTGGGATTAATGATATGAAATATAAATATTTTTGTATTACAAGTGCTGGGGAATAAATGCTGAACATTGCCCTCGCTTATAACATACAGCTCCGAATTTTAATTTTTGATATATGTTAATCCAAATATAAAGAAAAAACTCATTATCATTTGGTTTTCGACACATCATTTCCTTCACTCCTCTTTAAAACGGTGTTACATCAAGATATAATTTAAAATAATGATTCCTTTCAAAGAAGATGAAATGCTGAACATTTCTCTGACTTACAGCATCAAAATTCGATTTTTAGTTTCTGAGATATTTTAATCCAAATGCAAAATTTATTCGACTCGAGCCGACTTTACACGAATATGCATTACATAACCAAAAATTGTAAATATTCAACCCAATCAATGTGAATTTTTTTTACAATGTGATAAGAAAAGTAGTGTGTGGAAATATCCTATGTATATTTTTGATTTATAACTTTTTGAAAATAATAAACCATCCTGTATTAAGCAACTCGTTGAAAATCTAAATAATTCTCTCGATTAAATGTAATTAAAACAATCAATTCCCATTTGATGTTTATCAGTTAAAAATATGAGAAAAATAAGGACCTCACTAATAGAGATCTGCACATGATTTAAACTTACAAACAAAAACTGAAAAACTGCAATGATTAGAACGAAAATTCCAATTCCTAAAATCATGGTTACTAAAGGATTGTAGACACTTCTGAGTTCATTAGCATAGCTGTAATAAAAAAGATAAAGTTAATAACAAAACAAAAAATATTAAATTATATTTTAAGAAATAATTAAAATAAAAACCTTAGTAGTTTTTTGTGGTATCGTATAATAGTATATAATTCTTTATAAATTTCTGAATCAACACTTCGATTCCTAGCATTTGAATCGACTCTTAAAGATGATACATGAATACAAAGCACAGAAAACTGTGCATAAAGGCACATCAAAGTTTGATAAAACATCGATATGTAGACTGCTAGAAGTATTCCAGCCCATAAAATAAATGTGGTTTCGTAGAAGAAAACGATTTCGTAAAATGGTGATTCATCCATCTGCAAAGGATACCATCCTCCTAAGATTTTCTTCTTGCCAGTAGTCACTGCATCCATGTTTCCTGTATGGTAGAGGATGTAGTCCACAGATATCCCTGGAACAGCTATGGATGAAATGACTACACTCGTATTAACAATAAAAGCACTCATACAAAGGATATTCGCCCTCTTTGAAATCTTCATGAAAATCTCTTTTGCAGCAGCTTTGTTATATTCAGGAATATAAAGAAAGTCTTTTCTGACCAGGTTGAAGAGTCTGCATTGACTGTCCAAGCGAAACCAGAATACCATAATTTTACAACATATCTGTATGGCGGGTAAAGTATGCAAATTTAAAAACGTAGCTTTCTGAATATCAACCTTAATGACAAGAAAGCTAAGGTATTGAGTGAATATGTAAGGCATTGCGAACATGAGTGTCATTGCTAGTTGGAATTTGATTATAGCGTTCCTCTTCCCGGTCGTCCTGTAGTCATTGATGACTTTCCATAAGCCGAAGAACTTGAGGTACTTCATATAAAGACCATCGATGACATCCGAATCCGAGATGGAAGGTTGGTGGTTCATTGTTCGCTTGAAAGTCAGAACTGAAATGAATAGGATGATACGTGAGCTGTTAAATATAAAACGGTATCCGTATAGTTCAATACTTTATTAATGTTCCAATTACCGAAGAAAGATGGAAATGGTAATAATTGAAGATGAGAATTCTGGTATTAATTGGAAATTAATTAATTGTCTCTCGTACTCAACTGAATTCATGTTCTATTAAAAGAAGTTGGGCACTCATGGCCTCGAAGGAAAAGGAGAAATTAATAATTTAAAAACGTCCCAAGACTAGCTTTGTATCATTTTCTAACTAAAACTGTCGCTGACAAGATAAAATTTAATCCTTAGTCAATTTTATTTCAATATTTCCAAATTTGTAGTAAATTATTGGAGATGTAAGAGTGAATTCTGATTCCTTACTTTAGTCTAGAAATATATTAACAAAAATGTACTATTCTCGAACTTTAGCAAAACAATATATTGCAAATAAATATTGGTTGCGTTATCAATCAGAAAAGGTATGTGATTTATAATTCTTTATATACAGGTAAATAAAATGGTGTCCGAAAAGCATAGAAGTTGTTTCTTTATTGAGTAATATTACATTTTGTCACAACTAAGGACATTTCTAATGTTAAAGGAGTTCATTCACACTAGCATAGAACTAATATTGAACATTTAGAGTGATGTGATTTTATGAACAGTAAATATTTGTAGGATTTCAGGTTTATAGTTGCAGACTAACAGTCAAATGATCATTGAAACTGCTAATATATTTTTGAAGTTGCTTGGTCTTGTATGTTTAAATTTTAAGGTTAGTTTATCATTTTATTATACAGTCGATATTTATCATTGGTAACATAACTATTAAAATACAATTAACAAATAAATATCAATTGATTAGTCATAAATCAAACCTAAAATGTGAACTGCTTGTAAGGTTGAGAATGACAATTTATGATTTCGGTAAGTATTTCTTTTTTTACCTCTGCTTAGAGTTTCAGTTTATGAAAAAATAGTTTTGAGTTCCTAAAATAGTTATTAATGTACTCCAAATATTTACTTTAAATAAGTTTTAGAATGTTTCCACATTACTCACAATTTTCATAGTTTTCTATGAATGTTTTGGGACCTAAAAAATAATTTTCAATTTAGTTACTTTTTTATATATTTATTTAAAGGTGTGCGAAAACTATTATATCTTGCTCTTGGTATAAATTTGTTTTATAACTCATGATTTTCTCTCAAATATTCAACGTTTCGGGACTCTGCCCTATCTTAAAGAATATTATACTTGCAATTATTCCTAAAATTGACCTATATCTCATCAAAAATTCCTTCATTTTGTCATTTTTTAAAATAAATTTTTACTTCTATTATATTTAGGAATATTGTAATGCAAAGTAAAAATACAAGATTAGAACATTCATAAATATAGTAGAAGTGAAAATCTATACAAAAAATGAAAAAAAAATATATATATAGATGATATGTAGACTAATATTTCGGAACAATGGGAAATAAAATAAAACCAAAAATGGTGCAGAGCTACGAAACATACAATATTCACAAGAAAAATATGAGTAATAAATAAAATTACACGAGAAGGAAGATATAATTGTTTTCACATAACTTCAAGAATCTATTTAAAATATACTTTAAAATTTTTTTTTAAAAAATTAAGAATAAATCCTTTAAAAAAATCAAGAATAAAACTGTCTAATACATATTCCGGATTTATTCCTTTCCTCTATACTTCTTATGGTTAGCGAAATTATAATATTCATATAAACTTAATCGCATAAATTGGCACTTTCGGTTAGTCAATTTCAGCAGGATCGTTACTGTAATATCACAGGTTTATACTTACTTAATGTATGAAATTTCAATCATGTCTGACTATGTTTTTTAACTAGATTTTTATAGACACACTGAGCATTTTACAAGACTCGGTTCTTTTGACTCTGGGGGACATCACATTTATTTCTGTTAGGGAACAACGAAGTATTTGGCACAGAAATCTTTTTATTAAATTATTACCATCCTCCTTAAAGTTCGTGAATAGCTTAGCTTCATCTCATAGTAACCTTATAATTTTTGAAGTGGAAACTTATTAAGCCGCGTTTTACAATTTTTTCGGAGAGTAAATTAGATCGAGCCGTTAGATCTCGGATGTGTAACGCTCATTGAAAAGTCGGATGGGGTCGAGTAATTGAAGTGTTCTTGCTTATAAATTAAAATATCTTAAAAACTAAAAATCGGACCCGCATATTGTTATTGAAGGAAATGTTCATCATATCTTTATAATGAGTAACTGTTTAAAATTGTATCATAACGTGAAACCGTATTGGAGTGGCGAAGGGAAAAAATAGTGTCGAAAACAAAATGATAACTAGTTTTATTGAGGATATGGATTAAAATATATATAGGAGGATATGGCTTTATCCTACTTCTCAACGACAATTCCTCCATGGTATTTTCCTTTTCCAAGTCTTCAATACCACAAACCATCCTTACATCCTGGAACTCCTTTAGTCGACGTTCCTATCCACGTTTCTATCCACTCTCTTAATACCAGGTCTCAACCTATAGACGTATATATTTCCTCCCATAAAACTTCTTCCTTCAGCAAATCGTGCTGATACCTTATGGAACTCTCTTCATACCTCCATACGTCAATCCTTGTCCACAAATTCATTCAAACAACTCCTGTTTCACCATCTACTCCACATTCAAACATACGTAAGCATGTAAAAGTACTTGCATCTATACACTGTATAATTTCAATCTAGTGAACAATTGCAATAACAATTGACAGTTAATTAGTTTGTATTTTTTATTATCCTAAGTCAGACTAAGACCCATGAATTTGTAACTCTGTTGTTATTCTTAGGGGAATAGTGCCAAAATAAAATTATTTTTTCATTAATTTAATCATTAAAAATATCTCAAATACTTACTGACCGGCATAATGTTAGGGAAGGAAATGTTCAGCATTCCATTATCTTTGTAATGAGTTACTATTTACAATTTATATTTAATATTATTAATATCGCCTTGTTGATGTTTACATATACTGTGTGGTCAGAAGTGTCTACTACTAGAAAACTTTTTTGTAGTACTGATTGGATATCATTCATAGTTATATTCTAAGCATATGAGTGCTAGAATTTTTTTTTTTTTTTGTATTCTCACTATAGGGTCTACCACTGATATCTTTAAACAACTTCTTTCTCTTATATTGGCTACATAAATTGAATAAATAAAAATAAAATATCAAGCCTTAGGGTTTATTCGGCCTGGATCGGTTATTCCTCCCACAGTGGAAGGGCGGTCGATTGTGACAAGACAAGTCGAGTTTTAAAGATTTCAAGGGAGGAATAAAAAACAGGTACGCAGTTAATATTTATGAAACTTGCAGTTAATTTTGAGTAGTATTTTTAATAGTTTCAGTTTCTTCGAAAAAACAGTTTAATAAAATCCTTTATACTAAGACGGATAATTTTTAGATTATTTTGATATTTTCTTCTGAGCCACTAATTAAATATCTTTATATTAGAAATTTTGAGTATTTTTTGTGTTTTTCAATTTGTCATATTATTGTTACCATTTCACTATTTAAAAAAATATTGTTAATAATAGATAATTAATTTTTCATTTAACGTAATTTCCAACATACGTATTATGATTTTAATTGTGCGATTACATTATAATTACACATTTCAACTATATAGCAAACAAAGATATTCCTTCCTTGCCATTTTCATTGGTTAAACTATTATGTATATTTTGTGGTACTTAATTTTTCGTCTGAGAATAAAATCTCCAGTAGAAGCCGTTTTTAGAAATACAGTAATCTCTAAACTTTCGCGGGTTTGATATCCGCGAGATTTGGTAGTCAAGAAATATAAAAAATGCGGTTATACAGATAAAGACGTGAGAGAATATAGTGGACAGAATTGAATAATTGATACTACATCATTTCTCTACCAATTCCCAACATTTTTCCAACTGAACCAAAACGAACAAGTTGTTTTTAAAATATTGGCATATCTTAAAAAATATGTTTGCGCGTGGCTAAGATTTGATAAAATTGATATGTGGTAAATGATAAATTATTTAATAAACAGCAGCATGCGATATGAACGTCTGATTGATTTATCTACAGACAGGTGGACTGACATACTGATAGCAAGAAAGATAAAGACAAAAAAAAAAATGTCTTGGTAATACTTTTGTTGATCATAAATCATATTTTAAAGAGAATTAGTGCGTGGTCTATGGAAGGAAATTCTTTTAATTTTGGAAGGACTTTTATGTTTTTATTATGAGTTTAGTTCTGCATTTGGTTATATCGAAAACATTCATAATTGTAAATATATGGACCAGAATAGATACTTTATAGATTTACAGCTACTCATTCTCACAAAAACAGAATATCAACTATAATTCAATAACAGCAAACGAAAAATAAGGACAGTGAGCTAGTCATTAATCTGCAGTGATCAGGAGCCCAGTTTCCATCATTAAAACTATAACAATATCATTTGAACGGTGGAGGTTCACATATGATGTGGCATATTCTTTATGATAATTAGAAAAAATACTGCTGTCGTGTTTTTTTGTATAACATCAATACTAACGTATAAGGTTTATTATTGGAAACTATCTTCTATATTAAAAGTCTTGAAGAATTCAAAAATATGTATAATTTCCTGCCTCTTTTTGTTTTTGACTGTAATAATATCGCCACGTCATAGCACTATATACAATGGCTCACAATAAAAATGATACATCTGGATATAATTAGAAATCATTGAATAAATAAATAGTTCAATTTATATTACGTTAAAATCAATAATTCATTGTAACCAATGAAAATCCAATCATAGCTTTATTTGTTATGTTCTTTTTCTTGTTCTTATTTTATGTACTTTTCTTAAGTTAATTTTCTTAATATAGAGATGTATGGCGGCTTCTGGTGTAGGAAACATTTGCTTTACAGTACAGATATTCACATCAGCAGTAAATAGTATAAATAAACATATTCAGAAGAAACTTGAAAGAAATTGTGGAAAATTCGGACTAAAAAAAAACAATTTTGTTTTTACCAAGATAATGATTCCACTCTACCATGTTATTTAAGGTTATTTATTTAAGGCTGTTTTATAACTGACCCAATGGTGTAACAAAACTACCACAGTCACCAGATATGAATGTGATATAACGCAGGAAAAATCGGAAGTAGACATTAGAAAACACGAAATTTCTAGAAAAGAATACTTCCTCGAAAAATATTTCCTCGAAGAATGGAACAGGTTAAATCTGGAATCACCAAACAATTATTCCATTTTTTTATGAACGGGCTGAACAGAGTATTAGAAAATAATAGCTTGTGTTGAAACCAATTAATAGTATTTAAATTTTAATAGGAAGTGAGGTGTTTCATTTTGACTGTGAGGTAAAATTATCCAGTTTTATTTTATGTTATTTTTTTAAATAATCAAAAGTTAATATTTTAATTGTATTGAGTTCGTACATATTTAAATTGAGATAATAAAGAAATATGTTTAAAAGTTTCTTGTTTTATTTATTTATTTTAACCATTGAATAGGGCAATGGAAAAAAAATATATTTTTTCTATTTTTTATGGGATGTACAAATTTCACTGTGAACCACTTTTTGTGTGTGTATATATATATATAATTACGATTAATTTTAGGAATTTTATTTAATTATTACTCTATTTATTAAATTTTTAAACGATTTTTGAAGATTAAAAATATTTAAATTTTATTATTAATATTTAACATATTGTTGAAAATTGTACGATTATTATAGCTTTAATACTATTTCAAAATTTATATAATTTTTAATTATATATTTTGTTGAACATATGTCTGGTCTGTAACATGGATAACCTAAACGAACCCCAATTATACCAGGCTCTTATGGCTACATTGTATTAAGGCCAATAAATATATTATTATTATTATTTATCTATATTAATAAAAATAGTATTCTTTGATATATGTATGAAGTAACTTTTTTCACCATTATTTTCCGTCAGCTATTCTTTACTTCATTATAGTAGCCATTACATCTTCTTTTACAGGTACGATGATTATCATATCCATTAAAAATAAGTTTTACTTACACTGTCTTTGAGTGCCTATATAGCAATACAGAAGTCTTTGTCTTTGTTTATGCCAAAAGACAACGATTTAATTATTATTATATTTAGTCTATAGGTTTAATAGGTTGTTGGCAATGCCATGAATATCATATTTGCGGGTCTACCTCAATGTTTTTATTTTTTTGGCACAGCCTCTTGTTAATGTCCAGTCCTTGATTGTGTATATTTAGTAGACTTTATTGATAATAATATTCTATTTAGTGGAATTAAATCTTGTATACCTATTTTGATGTTTTGGAAAAATAGGGATATATCGTGGGTTTATTGCAATATGTAACTCAGTGCATTTATTATATAGATTAATTTTCAAATTTATTTTTGTGGATTTCGATTTTATTTATCCATAAAAAATACCGTAGTTGCTAGAAAATGGCACATCCTCTTTTACTTATTATATATATATATATATATATATATATATATATATATATATATATATATATATATATATATATATTATATATATATATATATATATATATATACATATGATAAATAGAACATTTTCAGAATTCACAAAGAGAATATTCATCAAAATTCTTAATTCATAATTGGTAATTGGTTGACTGTCGTGGATAATGAAGAGAAGAATAGTTGGGGTGGTCAGTCAAAAAGGAAGGCAAAAATATATTATAATATTTATTTTTACATATGCCGACGTTTCGACCTGTAGTTCAGGCCTTCATCAGGGCTAAGAAAATAACCAGACAACAAGGTATGAGAAACATAAGTAGAGATAGTAAAAAAAAAAAAATAGATAAATAAATAAATAATAAATGATTCCCAACTCTTATGTCACCCTTTTTGATTATGACTACTTCATCATTCCACACTTTGTAACGGTTATTATTAATTATCTCTTAGTTCTTAGTCATTATTCTAACAATTTCATTTTACTTTATATTTATTTATTTTTTTTTTTAATTTTTAATTTTTTTTTATTTTTTATTATATATTTATTTATTATTTCTTTTACCATCTCTACTTAAAAAAAAACCTCACGTATCATATTTATTATTTACAGAAAAGAGGTGATGGTATATTTAATGTTAGGTTATAATTGTTAAATTATAAATACATTGCCTTGTGTCTCTATAATGGAGGTAATGAATAAAGAAACTCGACAACGCTTCATCAATTGAGGCACATTAGGACAGAAAATAAAATAAACCCAAGATTGCATTACTCCACGACATCCAAATTTTATCTAGAAGAAAGGTTAAATAACAGCTGATTATAACAAAACAGATGAACAAAAAAAAAGAAAAATAAAGAGAGATATAATAATAATAAAAATAATAATAGGTACAAAAGAAAATAAATTAATTGACCTGACACATGGGTAAACTGGGCCTACCGCGAGAGGTTCGCCCATGTGTCTGCTCAATTCAAAAAAAAGAACTAAAATAAAATAAAAATAAAAAACAAGAAAATAAATTAAAAATGAAAATGCATATAAATTAGATTTCATGAAGTGATGTAGTCTCGCATTTGTTTTCTTTTCTGTACTGATGATGCTGGGATTGAGAAAAATATGCCTGAGTTTACGTTTTTTTTTTCTTTACCTACATTTAGAGAAGCAAGGATTTTCCAATTATAATCTGACATTGAATTTCTGTCTCTTGAAGACTTTTATATGTTTACATTGATAAATTAAATTTTTATTCAGCCATTCTTGACAAAACAGCTGAAGCTGAGTAAGTGAAGTGAAGAATCTGAAAAAAAAAAAAAAAACAAATTATAAGTAAAAATTATAATTAGTACAGTATAATTTATATTTAAAGTTAACAAATTATATTGAAAAAATCTGGCACGGTGTGCGCATCACATATCTTGCACTTACCACTCTCTTCTTAGAAGAAATAAGTATTTTCAGACAAAGGGGAAATGAAAGTAAAAATTATAGACGCTGTATTTATTTATATTTCATTGTGTATATTTTTATTTGTATAAGTACCCTTATATATACAGATTTCAATATTTATATCCCTGTAATATATACAATTTGATATTAAATAATACCAACAATAGCATTTAAGAGAACCACATATGCATGTTTACATAATATTGTCGGAATCCGTATTATATTAAGCTTATGAAGTCTGTTCGAATCATTCGGGTGCGCTAGGATTTCTTTGTTCCCTCAATTACAAATGTTTTCCGTTATGATCTCTTGTTTCTACTTCAGTTAATTATTATTAAATTCTTTCATATTTTATATTTAACTGTCTCTTATATTAGAGATCATTGTGAGATATTCAATTGTATTAAATAGAAAAAAAATAAAGGTACTTTAGTGGAAGCTAATATTGAAAATTATCCATTTCAGTCCTGTTAGAGAACATCAATCAGAATAAATCCTTATTGATATTGATTGATCAGTAATACTCACAGACATTATCGTTTCCACGTTTATGGGATACATCCTGATGGCAGTGAGAGTCTCCCCTTTCATTGCCCTGGTCATCATCATTTGAGCGTCTGTTCTGAACTTCGTATCTGCCTTGTACCAGTCACTGCTGTAGATGGCGAACTGCAGATCAGAGCTCTGTCTGCGAAAGTTATTATTAAAGAAGAGCTTTCTAATTGTATATGGTGCAAAACAAAAATTTACGTTTTGAAATAAAATTCGAAAATTGTGAATAAATATTATATTTTGTTAACTTCACACCACAAGGTGGAGTATTTCAACACATCTAGATTCTCTTTACATGATTTTTTGCATGATCTTTGCATTCCCGAAGTGGAGAAACCTTACTGAAATGGGGAATTTAGTAGCTTGGAATAAATAAATCGCCCAAGTAAAATAAATAAATAAAGCCCATAATGTGCCTTCACAACCCACTTTGCGGCTTATGGTTTTAAATTTTTAGTCATTCTATTTAGTGTTTTTCATGATTTTTAAGCGATTAATTTTCCATCAATAAATTTTATAATTTTACAAACATTTTTAAAACAAAACCCAATTAATAGTTTGTTAATAATATAAGGCTTAGCAAACCCGAAGGTTCGATGCCAACACCACCAATCGCTTATTACACATCTACCTCCACTATTCCCCGTCCACACCCCTTCAGATCGGCTTTAATACGATCTTCTTACCTTCAATTCGGTCTATCCCTCGGACGTTTACCATTCCGTAGAGCGAATATTAACATTTTATGAATTCTTTCTTTACTCAAAGCCCAATCATTTCCATTTTATTCGCCGCGATGTAATCACCTCAATTATATAAACTGAATACAGATAACGCAATGCGGCATTGTGTAACCTTCTGAACTCTCCGGTTAACTCATTGTTCTCATAACCGACATAGCCACCGTTGACGTGCCCATTAGGAGGAGATTGAAGAAGAGCTGGATGAGAGATCTCCATCTCTCATTTACTAAAGTAAACAAAAGACCAGAAATAGATGCAGTTGGATGATATCCTTCCTCATGCCATTAGCATCTATATTGCCATCAAATTTACTGATTGCCACTCTTATGGCAGGTGTAGATGAAGGAAATATATAAACTGACAGTCGAAAAATTCCACCCACTTGATTTTTACATCTAAAAATATTTCTGCTTTAGATTGGTCTATTGTATTTAATGAATAAATAGGTAATATTTTTGTTTGTTTTCAATTAGGAATGTTAATATAGAGGACAATAACCCTTAATCCTTAATTCAATGAAATGATTCTAGATTCCAATGTTTACTTTCTATGGAATTAAAATGTTTATTCAGTATCATTAGTTCAGTGCCGTTTCTTGCAGCACATTTCTTAGTCTCCGGCTTTTAATTTTTTCAATATTAAGTTTAAAAATGCCTCTTAGTGTTGAGGATGTTGCGCGTGGTGTGGCACTTATTGATGATGGACGTTCCATAAGATATGCAGCTAATGCCATCGGAGTTCCATATGAAACTTTACGAGACGCCGTCATGCGTTTTCGGGAAATTGGTTCTTACAATAGAAGGCCCGGTTCTGGACGGCCTAGGGCAACAGAACCACGGGATGACTGGTTTTTGACTTTGAGAAATTTACGAAACCGGCACCTTGCCGTTGTTCAAGCGATTCATCAGCCCGAAGAAGTCCGAGGTGTGCAAACTTCTGAATGTACCGCTCGGAGAAGATTAAATGAGTATGGATTATTGGCTTTTCGTCCAGTAAGAGGGCCAGAGTTGACCAGAACTCACAGAGTAACACGGCTGGCTTTTGCTCGAGAACACAGCCATTGGACTATGGACGAATGGAGTGCTGTACTTTTTACAGGTGAGTCAAGATTCACTCTTCGATCTCCAGACGGGCATGAAAGGGTGTGGAGAAGAAGAAACAAAAGATATGCAGCCTGTAATTTTTCCAAGACCCAACCTTTCCAATGTGGTTCCTTAATGGTGTGGGCTGGGATTTCAATGGAGCGCCGCACAGAATTGGTTGTTGTTCGCGGAGGGTCTTTGACGGCCATTCGCTATGCAGATGAGATTTTGGAATCTCATGTGTTGCCTATACTCAACGAAATCGGGGATCGTTCTAATCTAATGCACGCCCACATGTCGCCAGCATAGTGCAGACGTTCCTTCAACAGAACAATATTGAGGTTTTAGCCTGGCCATACGTTCTCCAGATTTGAACCCCGTTGAGCATTTACGGGTTAACCTCGGAAGACGAATGAGAGCGCGTGCAACACTTCCTGATACACTGCAGGACCTTGAAAGGGCTCTTTGGTAGGAATGGGCTATCCTCCAGCATAGATGTACTAAGAGGCATTTTTAAACTTAATTTTGAAAAAAATAAATCCGGAGACTAAGAAATGTTTTACAAGAAACTTGATTGAACTAATGATACTGAATAAACATTTTGATTCGATAGAAAGTAAACATTGGAATCTAGAATCATTTCATTAAATTAAGGATTAAGGGTTATTGTCCTCTATATTAATATTCCTTATTGAAAACAAACAAAAATATTACCTATTTATTCATTAAAAACAAGAGACCAATCCAAAGCAGAAATATTTTTAGATGAAAACATGAAAAAATCAAGTGGGTGGAATTTTTTGCCTGTCAGTGTATATTTGTAAATCTTTAAGGTTAGAAGTTAATTTATATATTTTTTAATATTTTTATTTGTTTATTTTTTATTAATTTCTGAAGCTCTAACGTATTATTATTAACTACTTTAATTGGACTGTCCCATAATAAACAAGACGTATTACAATAAATTTAGTGAGCATAACTATTAATTAAAAAAAAAAATCATGTATTTCGTAGTGCATTGGCATGCATCGAACTTTATGATTAATGCTCCATTCCTGAATTTCGTGGAGTGATATTAAAAAATCTTTCCTCAATACCGATTAAAAAAATGTTTAAAAATTGGATCGGTTAAACTTTAGTTATGTTGGTATGTTAATATCGTCAGCATAAAAGTATAAAATATTTAAGCAAAAACGCATGCTTATAATAACTTACCGCAGTTTCTACAGACGCAGAGCCGAAGCAAAACATACAAACTTCAACATATTGATAAGCCAGAAATAGCAAGGATTTAAACATTAACATGAAGTTCCCGTTACCTCCCTAAAAACAAAATTAATTAAATTCAAAAATCAATAAATGATTAAGTTGCATTCAAATTTATAAAAATAGTGTTCTTACGAATAGAAACTGATAGATTGATATTATCAGCACACATAACCCAATTCCTAGTATCAATGTCACTAAAGGATTGTAGACGCTACTTAATTCTTTTGTATACCTGAAAGAACAATATTTAAGATAAAATTAATTTTAGTGTAATTTAATTGTTTTTAAATAAAATCAAAATAGTAAAATTATCTGTCTCTTTCCCTGTTTCTCTACTTATAAACTTTTTTCAACACTTTACTTAAATAAGCTTTTATATTTTTTTTATACAAACTGTTTGATTTTATCTTAGCTAATATTGGTCGAAACAATACTTAGAGTATTGATTTTTGTAGTAGAGTAGTTTGTAGTATTGATTTCAATACTTTTGAAGTGATTTTTAGACGCGTTTTGTATCTTTTTTTTAGAGTAAATTATATTGAATTGTCAGATATCCGACGGAGTTGACTAATTGAAGCGTTTTTTTGTATCGATTAAAATACCTCTAAGACTAAAAATCGGACATGTATATTGTTACTAAAAGAAATGTTCATCATTTCATATTATTTGTAATGAGTTATGATTCAAAATAATATCTTAATGCGACGCCGTGTTACGTAGGTGAAAGAGAAAAACTAGCGTTTTATTGAAGATATGGATTAAAATATCTCAGAAATCAAACATCGGACTTCCATACTGTAAGCGAGGGAAATGTTGAGCATTGTAATTCTTTATAATGAGCTATTATTTATAATTAATATTTCACATTATCAATCTTGGCTTGACCTTATCATTTCTATCGTCTGATCAAAAGCACTCACCTTAGTTTTTCCCCCTTATTAGGTTAAAAATTGGTAATAATTATATAACTAGCCCGTGCGAAAAACTCATACAGCATATTGCTAAGTGATCAAATTTCAAAAGATTAAGAAAATAAAATAATGCAACGTACCATAAGATAAAGAAATCAATTGCTACTTTATCGATAAATATAGTCGAAAAAGGAATAATATTTCACAACCAATATTATTTCAATTAAGGAACAATAATATTTCGAACCAACATGTTTACAAATTTCATCTTTGCTAAAAATTGTCTGATTTCAATGACTTTTGTTTTCCTCTTAGGGAATTTAGTAATATTTTATATAATAATGGACATAACCAATGAATAAGTGTGTAATTTTTTAGTTATTCGCAAACACAGTTTCTTTTCTTCACTAACTAGTTTGCCAGAATTTTCGAGGTTATTGGACAATTTTCCCGCCAGAAAGAGAAGGAAACCTTGAAAATTGGTGGCTCAATCTTGAAGAATTAACGATGATATGGCTTGCCGATCAAAAACACTATCGATGAATAATATAAACTCCTCCTCTCTCGATCATAGATGCCTCAAGTCGACGAAATGAGACATGTATCCAATGACAGTACTACAATTAACGTAAGGTTGTGTGGATGCGAACCCTATGCCTTGCGTTATCATGAAAATAGTACGTTTTTAGTCTTAAAAACGCAGGATCCCGAAAACACACACCTTTTTTTCTTTATTGTATTTTCTCATTTTTTCTTGAAAATATTCTGCTAATATGAAAGCGTAAAGAACTTCAAGGCATATTTAATTCTACTGAAATCTTTAGTTTAAATCTTTATTGCGATCTTTATTGATTTATTGCGCTGAATAGTCTTGGCAAAGATATACTGACACCATTGAAAAAAAAATACCAGTACAGATCAGTAGAAAACTACACATTGAAAATATGATCCAACCAAAATATTTCCTTTAGTCATCCTTCGTATAACTGATTCAGTTTCAATATTTGTATGTAATTTTATAACTTAAACGGGAATTTAATATTAATTCAGTCTTATTGCCATTTAAATGACACGACAAGGAATAAATGTCAAATTTATTTACAAATTGTCTTTTGAGGTTACCAATAATATGAAATACCTAAATATAATGTTCTTCCTGGAAGAAAACAAGTTTTCTGAAATACTAATAGACGTAAACATATGTAATATTTGATAACATAATATTTCAGACGAAAAAAGTTCTAAAGGTTATTTTTATGTTAATTAACTGAATGATTAAATTAAAACTGAATGAAATATTCAAACTGGATAGAAAATGTTAATAAAATTATTTTTAAGCTTAACAACTAATATATATATACATAAATATTAATGCGGTATTATTCAAAGGTATTATAAATTAAATTTTCTTTAATTTAAGTGTAATGTAATGGGCCAATATGCTTATATTTTGAAATTTCGTTGGTTAAAATCACGTTTAACCTAAACTTTTGATTTTTTTTTTTTTACTTTTCAGTATGTAGATAAGAAGTCAGACATCTGTAAACTCTAGTAGAAGAAGAAATTATTTTAATCCCTAATCAATATTATGATTTCTCGTGTCTTCAATTCTCAGGTTCTACAATAATAATAAAATAATTATATATTTTAAAAAAGGCGATATAATACAAGCATGAGAATAGTTAACCAAAGAGGTATTATTAAGTACGTCATAAAGTGTGACATTTGTTATAATTGGCTTTGATATTTGTGAATAATGCCATCTACTATAATAAACAATATAAAAATGAATTTTTCACAATTGCATTGTTTTTTTTATTGAAAAAAAACTATTCAGGATGATTATAAGGGTAAACACCTTGAAAGCTCCCAAAAACTTGAAAGTGGAAAATATATTATATAAATAAAAGAATCACGAAAAGAAATAAAGCTCGCAATGATTTAAAAAAATAAA